ATCACACAATAGCATGGTGGGAGAGGGTTAAAATTCTAAAAAGTAATCTAGGTAGGTGGAGAGAGAGGTTGATTACTGAATCCTTGTTCATCGAATCTACACCCAACACATGCAATAGGAGTGACTCAAAGCAAATACCAGAAATATGGAAGATATTACTACCAATCAAATCAAGTGAAAAACAATGGAACTATATAAATGAATTAAGGAAGTCGTGTGATTACCTTGATATGATTATGACTGGCAATAATAAATTGTGCTCGAAACGTGGTCATCAGTAAACATTGCTGTATAACAACACTGTGAGACTTTATCAAAATAAAATTTACCCATAATGAGAGTTGCCCAATCTCTCCACTTCTCTTTAGCTTTGCCATCGATGACATTCTGGAGTCAGCTGTGAAGGGTGTGCATGAAGGTGATGAAGATCTGCTACCTGGAGATAGATAGACTTTTCGACCTCAAGTATGCAGACGATATCGTCTTACTGTGTTGATAGCATGCAGGCTGCACAAATCGCACTTAATCACTTGGCGATCAGTGTCTGTAAGTAAGTATGGTATGTGCTTTGCACCGTCTAAGTGTAAATTAGTACTGTTACAAGACTGGCAGGAGCCTGTACCTGCACTCACTCTTGCTTGCAGGTGAATCGCTTGAAGTTGTTGATAAGTTTGTGTATCTGGGTAGTTGTGTGAGTGCTGGCAGGGATGGGTGACGGATGACATTTCCAGCCGTATAATGAAGGCTAGGGTGGCATACATCAACTTGAGCCACTTCTGGCGCCGTCGTTGACTGGCTGATTGATTGATTTATTGAACGGGAAAGCTTAGACTGTGTTGACCTGTCGGCACCTAGAAAAAGACGCTTCAATGATGTTTGAGGATTAACGTGATGTGAAATCCAGTATGCACATTTCGTCCTATTCGGAACTGACTCACCTCTCGATGTACCTGCATTCTCACTGATTGATTGATTGGTGCTGTTCTCACTGACTGAGACAATGAACGCAGTAGCCATCGCTTCAAACTCCATAAATCTTATCGACTAGGCCACTTGAGCTACAGGCGATTTCAGTGATGACACTATGTCACTCACTGGAGAATGCAGATATATACATTTAGCTGACAAATCTCGAAAATAGGACGAAATGTACATCCTGGATCCGACTACTAGTCACCCTCCTTCAAATTATCACTCAGTATTGTTCTCAGAAGACCTTATTATAAATACAGAGTGGGTAAATATACAACAACCGTCGAAGAAAAAGAAAATAGGCTTTTTTCTCACCAAATTATCAAATTTCAGCTACCGTCTAACACTATGGAGGTGAGTATAGTGTAAGACTAAGTGGATGAGTAGTAAACTGAAAGATTGAGCAGCGAAGATATATTTACTTTTCAATTAGATCCTCATCTCACTCTGGCTCTACTCTAATATACACGTATACACGCATTTTTATTACAATACACAACAGTTTACCAAACAAGTGGCACTGATATGTTTGTTAACAATAATTAAACAGTGTCAAAATGTCAAGCAGTGGGTTGATAATTAACGAAGAAAATCAACACACATTTAAAAAGTAGAAATGGATAGAATAAATTAATTTTACACGTAATTAAAGATGAAGTGGTCAAAATGAATAAAAATAAAATAATTTGGACAATTATAATTTAATAGGTTTAGGGGGAGGGGGGCGACGTAGTCCTGTCTTGTAATGATGGCCACGGTAAGGAAAGTGGCTGTACAAATTTCTTCTGAACACATAGGCTTGGTTTCTTCTGGTGGATTACGATTGCTTCAGCTGTCGTATGTAGAAGACGAACTCGTAGAGCAAAGTTAAGATTAGTCGGAATGCGATAAATAATTTTAAATGCAGTATTAGCATCAACCTTGTGCTCAGTATCAACAAGGTGTGCTACAATAGAACTATGAACAGATCTTGTTTGTCCCTAGCTTAATCACGCTGGATGATGTTCAGAAATACGACGATGAAACTGCCTAATTGTACGCCCCCGATATAGCTGGCTCCGCAGCTGCAGTCAAACTGGTAGATACACACAGAGGCGGAGGCAAAATTAGGTAGTTTATCCTTATTTCTCGAACATAGAATAGGGCTGGTTGTGAAGAGACAACGTACCTCTGCTGCATAATAAGCTCTTTTAACTGCATTCTTCAGGTGTTCGTTGTGTTATGATTTCGCTGATGTTGTCACCGAGGAACTGCAATTTTATGAACATTGGTATTTTCGAAACTGTAGCAATACTGACTCTCCTTGGTGTTGAATTCATATTCTTCTCAATAAATTTATCTGGATAACCATTTTTTCTAAGTAATTCTTTAATAATCTTAAGCTCCTCATTGAGGCAGTCGTCTGAACAGATTAAACTGACTCTATGAACCAGACACTTTACCAGGTTACGTGTTTATATTTCAAAGGTACAAAACTGAAAAAATGGGTGTACTGACCTGTTGTTGTAGTTTTCCTATACACACACTCCTTCTTAGTGTGCCATCTTCTTTCCTTGCCATGAAGACGTCTAGGAGTGAGTGAGATACTGTCATTACTTTCTTTCTCTCTATGGTAAAGTTTATTTCTGAATGTGCATCATTAAACTTGTCAAGGATGTTCATAGCGTCATTCTCGTCTTTCATAACCAGAAATGTAATATCCATATATATCGACAGTAAAAATCCATGTCATTAATTACTCCTTTCAGTGGTCCATTCTCTAATTTAGCGAGGAAAAAATCAGCTGGGATTGGACCTAATGGGGAACCCATAGCTACACCATCAATTTGTCTGTAATATTCCTTATTAAATAAGAAGTGAACATTCATTGTACATCTTAAAATAAGTTCCTTCAAGGTGGATATAGAAATCCCGATGTCTATGTTTCGTGTAGCAATCTCCTCACATATAAAATCCACTGTCTCCATTAACGGTACATTGGTGAACAAGGAGGATACATCAAAAGATATCATAAACTTGTCCCTCACATTAAGATCTCTTATTTATTTTCCCGACAAATTCAAAACTGCCTATTTACGCTATGTTTTTTAATTTTGTATCACTCGATGACTACCAAAAACAGTCGTCTCTATTAAAACAGTAATAGTGAGTGCTATTCACTACTACTCAGAAGCCCTTAATTAGATTCACTGATAACTAATCCTTACAAACCAAACTATAGAAAAAAAGTCTTAAAACCACTACTTTGTAAATATTGACAACAATAGAAAAAAAAACAAAAGTATCGCAGAGTAGCTAGTTATACATTCACTCAGGGGCAGGTAAACAACAAATATTATGCCTGGTGAGAAAGTATAAGCCATTCTGTAGTACCGTTTGATACATACATTCCCAGTGGACACGTGCATCTATATATAATATCCATAATGTTGGTTTCAAGTTGAATAAAGACTGTTTATATCACTCACACTTATTATTTATTGTTTACCAACGCTGTTTCTATTCACATCTGTCAATAGGTAGGTAACCAATTCGACTAACCACGAGGATCTCACCACGTGACCAGTGAAGAAGTGTTTTCATATTATCTCTAGTAGGTAGGAGCAAGCAACTGAAGACTAGAGGAAAAACCAAGTACTATTGGGAAAATGGTTGATTAAGTAAATCACACAGCACGGATCCAAAAAGCTCGGGCTGCTTTCGCTAACTTACACCATCTCTGGCTTAGTAGGCTTGACATCCGACTATCAACTAACCTAAGGACGTGTGTACTGCTCAGCAGTTCACTCCATCGTTCTATATGGCCCTCTGAAACATGGCCAATACGAGACATGAAAAGGTTGACTGATTTTGATCATAGATGTCTACGATCTCTTTCTCACGTTAGGTGGTATAATAAGATAAGTAATGTCGACGTTAGGTTAGGCGTAGAGTGTTGGGCAAAGAGGGAAAATCAATCGACGAGGCTATAAAGTTACATAGATTGAGATGGCTAGGTGACGTGCTGCGCATGCCTAACCATCGCCTCCCCCTCCCGATGGGCATTACTACCTGATATATATGCAGGTTGGAAAAGAGTAAGTGGTGCCATGCCAAACAAAAACATGGCCTCATCAATCCATGAAATCCCTGACAGTTAAACTGAGTCAGGTAGGGAGGGAGATGCAGACTTCCGGGTTGGGGCCCGCCCTCGGGACTCTAAGAATCAATGGCTGGAGACAGACAATAGGTGTGACATGGCTCAAAATCGTTGTCAATGGCTTACGCAGATGTATTCAGTCTCTTGTGTAATCTTTCATATTCCTTCCTACCATTACTCATTCTGTTTCACTCTTATACTTGTCAAAACTCTATTGATTGATTCTCTTCACTCATCCATCTTCTTGTCTACCTTTGTGTGGTATTTGGAAGGTGGCAACTCGAACTGCTGCACTTCGGTGCCAAGTTCTACGTTGAATCCAATCAGACAGACACAAGTAAAGTGGAAAGAAAGAATGTGAGAGTGAACAAGTCTAGGTAGTGCTACCGCTGAAAAACATTATTATTATTTTTACGAGTTGATCACGGACTGATATCAGTTAGAGAACCATTGAAAACCAGGGAGTACTGCATAGCTGCTGTTTCATCCTAATTTGGGAATCATCGCCAGTACGCACCCACCACCAGAGTTCGAACCCAGGACCTTCCGATTACAAGGCAGGCTCGCATACCATTCAGCCACTCAATGGGACCCAATTCAATGAGTATGAATTCTAACTTCTACCAATTCGTGATATTTAGCGTGACCACCGACCAATGTCATCGGTGGGACATCCATCCTCACACTTGACATCTGGATGAACCTCACTGGTCACGACTTTGCACTAGAACTGACTCCAGGAAACTCGCTAGTGACTTGCTACAGGATGCAGTAAGTAGTTCTGAATAAGTAATTCTTATTCTCCGATTTCCAAAATTTCCAATTTCATTTTTGTTTTCTGCTTTTTTTCTTTGAAACCTTTAGGTATTCCTAGTATGTTCTTCAAAACATGACATCATTCGCCAAAGCATGTATAGATTTCTCGAACAATTTAAAAAATTTACGCTTCAGCAAGTTAAACACCAGTGTCACACCTTCTTCCACTCCGAGTGTCACTGATTCACCGACGTCAGCCGCCGTGTTGGCTTTTGAACCGGAAGACACAGTAAAATGTCCTCTATCTATCAGTCATGATTCCCAGTCAGAAGAGCTTATAATCTCTGCTAAACTTCACTCTGGCTACCAACACTATCAACATGTCAATTCGTCAGGGGAAGAAAAGCACCGGTGCAAAAAGACGCAGAAGAACAGTGAACCAGTGGTGAAAGGCAAATCAACGCATAATGATGTGGTGAACGACAAGTCTACAAGCATTTACAATAAAATCTCCCTTATTACCAATAACATGATGACTAGTGGTAACAAGAATTGCCTACAGAATAAACTCAGTGAAGACACGACGACGACTGGTACAAATCGTGATAAAGACGAGTGTGCACTATCAAACAAACCTACACAGGGTAAACACATGCAAAAAAACATTCCACAAGACAGTGTTACAACTTATTATCATTGTACAAAACCCTCTGTGCAGAACAAAAACAGCCTAAGTAACGGATCTTTAAATAACGATCCATTGAAAGCTATGATTTTGAACACTTCGGATAATCTATCGTTGAATACAAGAATGTCGAATTCGTCACCGAACAGCCCAATACCCAGGCATCATTTCAAGATGAGAAATAAGCTGTCATCGGATACAAATGATGATAACAGTGTTATTTCGAATAAAACGCCTAGCAGTAACATCACCAATTCATTGGAGTCACCGTTCACCTTTAAAGCGACACTTTCACCGACTATGACCCACCGGTTAGCTATCCTGGCGCGTAACTGTCAAAACACTGTTACAAATCACAACCACAACAACAACAACGGTGGTGGTGGTGGTGGTGTTAATGATTCCACCTATTGTTTCTATAATCGATACTCGCATAATTCCACATCGTCGCCGTCATCTTCTTCACCGATCCCCCCGTTGCATCGGGGAACAACAGTGGCAGCTATAAAGCAGCGATTAATAAATCAAGGCTTACGGATCAATTTGAACATTCCAGTGAAGAAATCTACAAGTACACGGTTTCGTGATTATATCCGACGGCAGAAAAGAGGTTGTCCGCATACAGTTGAGTTATTATGGTTGAATAAAAACTTTATGAATAATCGCATATTTCATTATTTATCAGGTAGTGAATTGACAGCCTGCGCAACTGTCTGTCGTGCATGGTATGAATTTCTGTGTTCAAATGGTTTCCAAAATAAACTGTGCTTTGTATTAAATATGAAAAAGTTGCTTGATGAAATCGGAAGTGTATGCAGAGACTCTTCTAAAGAAACATCCATGTACAACATAACGATTGTACATCTTCTTCTTCTACAATAGCAGAAGAAGTAGTTGTCCAGAAGTGCTTAGAACAGCTGATTGCAGTTCGCCTACTGTCTGCGCTGAACAGACGACTGCAGTGTATTAAAATTGTACAGCTGGCTGAGAGACTTAGTTCTACCTTGTGTAATATATTAGAAGTTCTATTCAACTCGTCATCACCGATTGTTCCATTGTATTTATCTCAGTCGAACACAACAACATTCGCTGGCACAACACTAATGAAAACATCATCAGCAGGTGATGGGGAAACAGTCACAGGTGAAGACAATGTGAACTGTTCACCGTGGACTCGTGTTACTGATGATGAAAATAACAGCTCAGTGTGTAAGCAAGCTGACTGTGTTTTAAGGCATCAACAGAATGGTTTTGTCCAGGGGAACAATTTACCAATATCAAATTATGCTAATCAGAATGATACAATATTTGTTAATAATAGTAATAATAATAATAATAATTCGCTTACGACGTCATGTTTATTCAAGAAAATGACCGACTCAAAACTTTCGATCAATTCGCATCAATCGAATTCAGAAAATTGTTCTTGTTCTTGTTGTTGTTGTCGTAATCCTGAAGAATCCTGCTTATCCACGCATAGATTTACTCATTTAACACTGAAATCCTGCTCTATACTTGATCAGTCATTATCACGTCTAGTGAGTTTATTCCCTGCATTGAAAACCCTCGAGTTCGAGTGTTGCAACGATTTCACTGAATTGGCGTTTTGGTCTTGTCTAACGCCAAACATTGAACACTTGACTGTATTCGATTGTATCAATGTATCAGATGAAAGTTTGAATGCTATTGGACAATTGTTGCCTGAGCTGAAGTGCTTTCGTCTGCAAGCCTATCATATCACTGATGCAGCGCTGACCTATTTCAGCACGAAACAACGCGTGAGCATGCAGACGATGGAGTTAATTCAGTGTATGGACATAACAAATCAGGGGGTTATGACACTGGCGTATACACTGGACAATCTGCAGGTGTTAAACTTAAGCGGATGCAGTAAACTAACCGATGATGGATTGGATGTCATCTGTGAAAATTTGAAACGATTAACCTCGCTGAATTTGTCCTGGTGTGCAAAGATCACTGACAGTGGGATAGAATGTGTCGCTTGTGATTTGATTCTGTTGAAAAAGTTGATATTGGATAGGTGAGTATAAAAGTGGTTGTTATTGCTTTGTTACTATTATTATTATTATTCAAGTATTGGCTTTTTAAGGGATTTGATTGATTAGTTACAGGATTTCATCATGAGCACTGACATCGGATGGTTACAGAGAAGCATTGGAAAACCAGCGGTTTCGTCAGCCTAGTTTGGCACTCTTCAACAGCACGCACCCACCCGAATGCGGTCCGAACCCAGGACCTTCTGGTTACAAAGTCAGCTAGCTCGTAGACCACTGGGACCCGATCCAATGACCGGTGCATGAATTCTGACTTCTGCCGATTCGCGACATAGCGTGACCGCTAGCCAATGTCTTCGGTGAGTATTTGTCCTCACGCCCGACCTGCTGCAGCCTACTGGTTACGACTTCCCACTTGAACCCAGGCAACTGCCTACCTGAATAGGGCCAGTCACTAGTGAGCATTTCATTGATATTCAAGTGTTGGTTTGTAGGGATTTGACTGATTGGTTTTGAACAAAGCAAGAACTACAGTAGTTTTTGCAGAATGAAGTCAGTGGTACCATCATTGTTTATTTCGTTGCCTTCTCGTCAGGTGCTTACAGGACAAAGACATTATTAAATGTATCTACAAAAACAATTTTAACATACTTGCACAGAGTTCATTTTAAACAAAAATCAATCAACAGATCAATATATGCATACACTAATAATATACATATATATATGCAATATTAAACACTAGTCCGAGCAATAATAATCATACATAATGAAAACCTTTCAGCATTTCGCACTCAGATGAAAAAGATATCCAGTTACCAGGGCAAAGAAAGACTGATAACCGCTTCTTTCTGGACGCATAAATCAGGTTTCAGGCGCTTGATGGAAATGGCTTCAGCAAACTTGAGGAGAATTGAGCTCTTTTGCCTATTGATAATTTCGAACGACTTTTCGACGTCCACCTCATGACCGACCCGTGTCAAGGAGATGCCTGGCGATGGATGGCACTGTTTAATGCATTTGTTCCCAGCAGTAGACATAAGCTTTTTGGTACATGTTTGGAAAATCGTAGATATGCCCTTCTTTCTTTCTGTCCTTCCAATGTAACTGCTCCCACAGATACATGTAAATTTGTATATACAGTTGAAGTTGTTAACATGAGAAGGATATCTATCGATTTTTGATTGCACCAGAGAAGAGCAAGTTGTTCGATAGACGGGAACGAGCTTAGCTGCAGGATAGGCTCTGGCTAGTGATGTGCTCAGCCTTCTGTTGATCATAGCTGCAATGTTTTCACCTTTATAATCAAGCTGAATGTAGATTGACTTCCTTTTACCCACTGTGATTTGTTTTACATTTGTGACTTCAGATCTTCCATACTTGTTGATGAACCTTTTAGGGTACGTACCCATTGCTCTTCAATATCTTTTCAAGAAACTCAAATTCTTCCTCTAATTTCTCTATAGAGCATATTCTCCTCACTCTGTTTTTGTTTAAAATGAACTCTGTGCAAATATGTTAAAATTGTTTTTGTAGATATATTTAATAATGTCTTTGGTCTGTAAGCAGCTGACGAGAAGGCAACGAAATAAACAATGATGGTTCCACTTTATTCAGAAAAACTATTATTGTTATTATTTTTATTTTCGTATATTTCAATAATTTCTAACCGGCTAACTGAAGGCAAAAGATATTATATGTCGCTTTCAAATGATATCAAGTAGTAAAAAAAAGAACACTTAGGTAACTGCTTTCTGTGTGTTTGATAGACCGCGGTAACGCGTAGCCACAAACTACTCACCACTTGGTGAGCGCTTTATCGTACAGTGACCTGGTTGGAACTCTATGATGCACACTGCCTACTTCAGTGTTCATCTGTAAAACGAATAAGTAAAATTAGGCCTTGATTCCAGCCCAGATGGTGTTTGATATTATTCATATTTTCTGGAATGTCACTTATCCCTTACCACACCACTTAATTCTGGCATCAGTTACGCGGGTGGCCTGAGTTCAACTCACGGCCAATATACTCCAAAACTTTTGATGTGGTTGTGTTCTCTGAGCCAGCTGGATAGTTAATTTGCGGAGCTTTCATCACCCTACTAGACAGGTGACATCTTCAGCGCATACTTCAATTTGAGTTGAAGTGAGCTTTCAGATTTTTCCACGAATGAGTTTATTAATCATCTCTCCCGAAGACCTTGGACGTGATTGGTTGTTTTTCTGTGTTTTCACACCTTCCAGGTTACTTGTATTGTCACTCATTGTTTCTTTGACTTGAACTTTCACCCTTTGTGTATGTGAGATTTCCTTCTTATCGGTTGATAAATTTTGTCAATCTCGATGTGTCTATTGATTGATGATTCACTGGAATACCAGGTAGGCTTCTAAAAATTCTCTGGCTAGCATTCTTGTTGTTTCATCTGTCTAATATTTGAACGTTGTCCCAGTCGAATTGATGTCCGTGGTTGTCTGTATGTAGTGATTTGAGGGAGTGGATGTCATGTCTTTTGACAGCTAGCTTATGTTCGTGGATACGAAGACGAAGAGCAGGGACGTTGTTCACTTTGGCCAATGTAGTGTTTTTCGCAGTTGATACAATTTTATTTTGTAGATGATGTCGGTTATATCTTCTTTCGTTACTAAGTCTTTCGGTTGACAACAGACTCCACAGGATTGATCCTTCAACCAACAAAGCACGTTTCTAATTGAGTTTGTGTTTGGTTTGAATTCCAGCCACTTTTATTCCTGCCAGCCTTTTTTGAGAATTCTCCGTCTTCAAGGTTCCTTCCTTGTATGAAATTACCACTGATGATTTAGATTCCTTATTGTTGGTGTTGTCATTAACTTGCGCATGCTTGACATGCATGTCAACATTAATATTACTATTGTTATTATCATAATTACTATCACTACTATCATTATTTATTGTATTCTTACGTTTCCCTACATACTTTCCGACTAATTTATTAGCGCAATTATTAAGTTTCAAGGCTTCTCTTATATGTATCACTTCCCACCATAGATTTTCCTTGGTAATACTTAGATTTTGTGCTCTATTGTCAATTAAACATTTCACCAATCCTATTTTCACTGACATAGAATGGGATGATCGGAAGTCCAAATATCTGTTTGAATGTGTGGGTTTCCTGTAAACACTAGTGTTTAACTTCCCATCTTCTTTCCTTTTTACGCTACAATCTAACATTGGAAGCTCCTCTTCCTGACTTTCCAACTCGTCATAAGTGAATGGAATTGCCTCCAACTTTGAGTTAGTTAATGTGTTCGAAAAATCTATCTCTCTATATCGTGTGTTCTAAGTACAGTGAATGTGTGTCATCTACATACCTCCACCATACTTTTGAGGTGGGTGGGTCTGGACGTTTCAATCGCTATGTTTTCCCACCTATCCATGAACATATCTGCCGCAACCGGGAATATTGGTGACCCCACGGAAACTCCCTCAATTTGTTTGTACATTTTCCCTTGGAGGAATTTAAATACTGTGGAAGTTGGGCATAGCTGATTTTCCCAGCCAGCATTATGTCGTCATCAAGTGGCACTTTCATCCTAAGTTCGCGTTCTTGGTCAGAGATGATGAGTTTGTTTCTGACTGCCTCTATAGCCATATTTATTATCGGTATACGTGTGTATAAACTGACAATATCAAAATTAACCATTGTTTTTCTTCATTATCTAATTTTAAATTATCTAATCCATCTATGTTCATAGTTCATAAGTTAGTGTAATACATATCCAATAAATCAACTAATACATATAGAATCTATCGTAAAAATATCAAAACACGTTCAAGTAAGCAGTATGCAGGCAGTATGCATCATTCACGCATCATTTAACAACGTTTTAAAAATTGTGACCGGTGAAGAAAAGCAGCAGATTTATAAGTCCCTACCTTCATCCCTCTCAACCATTCACTCACTCACTCACTGACTCCCTCAAACACCGACCCACCCCCAGGCTCCACACCGCCCCCCCCCAGTCAAGCTGTAGGCATTTTAATTGACTTCCTTTTCAATTGTATATATCATATATATATTCCCATTTCCGGTCATATTTATTCCCAATCTCAGATGTCAATCCAACTGTGAGTTTTCATCATACACTTAATTCATCTACAAATAATCATATATAAGCAATAAATTACCGATAGATAGAGAGACAGGAAAAGTTTATTTCATTTTCAAGTATAAATTCATCACATTTTAACTGATTAAAAATACCCATTAAAATTGTTTTCAAAAGAATAGACACGGAACAAAGAGTACTCTTTTCGATAACCCCTTCATCATCAGGTTCTACAATTATATATACATCATAGTGAATGAATGAATGAGTTAGTCTTATGAACGACATTAATGTGGCTGTTTAAATAACATCGAATCAATAATATTGATAGATTACAGCTGAACAGCAACAACATAAAATAAACTGAATGTCAGGAGAATTAGGAAAGATAATATTACAAATTCATGAGTTTATAGTTTCTACTGAAGGCCGACAAGGGCTGTAGTAGTAGCTGGCTGGACTTGCTTCTCCTCCACACACAGAGCACTGGTTGTTTGAGGCGAATTGCAATAGCCTCTGATGTTTGGAGCATGCGGTGCTTTGACGATTTTGATAGTTTGTTAGGCACCCGGTAGATGATGATAGAGAAGGATTCTTCTACGCTGGCTGGCTTTGTGGCCGGTTTGCACCAGATGGTCCAATATCGAACTGTTGATGATGGTTTTCACTACACTTTTACTTAGCCATAGTGGGAGATGTTCTCGAGTGAGCACGAAAAATCAAGTTCCTAGAGCAACGGCCAATATAACTCGCTCCGCCACAAGCACAGTTGAATTGATTAATACAATTTGAAGTGACCAGCTAGTCTAGGTACTTCATCTTTCAGTCGAGGTAGCACCATCGGTCGTGTAGAGAATAAGACGCGTAGTTCGCCGCCAGCATTAAAAGTTCTTTCAACTGATTTTCTTAATTTCTTCGTAATTATGTCACTTGGTATATC